TGTTCCAGAGAAAATATCATGAATTATCATAAGCACATGATACTACCTATAGTTTCAAGTAAGGAAGAGACAGAAACAAGGAAGGTCACAAAACCTAGGAGTTTAGAGGCAGTGTGAGCCAAAGAGGAGAAGGAAGGAGAAGAAAAAGAAGAGGTAAAAAAAGGAGAGAAGGTAGAAGGCAATAAGGAAGGGACAAAAATGTGACCAATGAAAGTAAAATACAGATTTAGCAAACTGTGTTATCATTAGCGTTCTCTTTTGTAACTTTTCCACTCTTCTGTAGGCTCTGCAAGTGGGATAACTGAAGTATAACTGCATCATTTATTGTCGGTCTTGTAAATGTCCATGGCAGACACGATACAAAGTGCAAACAGTTTTGTTCATATCAAAGCCACATAACAATTCACAGTGTTAAGTATGATAATTGTTTCACTATTCCATGGGTGACTATAATATGTATGAATATATGTGATTATTTGTAAACATATTAATTGAATATAGTACATACTCATATTCATATAGAGATCACAATCAATGCATGTGTGTGAATTATTCACACATGCAGGATGCCACTAGCTTGCAAAAGAAAGTGATGTAAAATGATTTTAATAATCAAATGAATTTTCTGAAACTGAGGCCATTATCTTTACAGTCTCAAGTACTTGAATCTGCTTGAATCTTTTTAATGGAGCAGAATATTAATATTAAAGCATTATTCAGCTGGCAGATCAGTGTGTGCCCTTTGAAAGGAGCCCATATTTGTGGTATATGAAGGATATATGCTTACTTGTGTGAAAGCAGAAATTTAAATAAAAATACAAAGTTATGTGGAACAAACTTACCAAAGCACATGAAGAAATATAATTCATACAAAAATATTTTAAACAAAACACAGAGGTGAACTCATGTTTCTCTGTGACCAGCACATTTAAAAAAGTTTTTTTCCCTTGTTTTATACAGAGAATTCCAAGGAAAGGTGCAATTTGAAAGTAATGAAACTAAAGGAATTTTCTCTATTCCTGCATCTTCAACAACTACCCATTCAATAGTGTGTACCTAACCTATAAAATTATTATTTTTATAGGTGTACATATTAAGTACAGTTATACCTTTATGTGATAATAAATGGAAAGTAAAAAATAACTGGCACTAACAGTAAGAAAGATATTTAACTACCAAATGAATTTTTCTTTTTTATTTTTCTTGCAGAATTTAATAGTTTCTCAAATTTATTTTTTTCTGATTTTTATTACTTTATAAATAATGCCAATAAAAATTTATATTTCCTCCCCTCCTCCCACTTCCCTCCCGTTCCCCCACTCACTTTCCCCTCTCCCCCTCCAGTCCTAAGAGAGAGCAAAGTACCCAGCCCTTTCGGAAGTCCAAGGCCCTCCCTCTACATCCAGTCTTAGGAAGATATGCATCCAAATAGAATGGATCCCCAAAAGCCAGTACATGCAGTAGAGACAACTCCCAATGCCATTATCATTGGCTTCTCAGTGGTCCTCAATTTTCAACCACATTCAAAGGGTCCAGTCCTACTCCAGCTAGATTTGGTGAGCTCCCATTAGTTCAGGCACAGTATCTCAGTGGGTGGACCAACCCCTTGTGGTCATGACTTTTTTGTTCATATTCTCCCTTCTTCTGCTCTTCAACTGGACCTTGGGAGCTCAGTCCAGTGTTCACATGTGGGTCTCTGTCTCTATCTCCATTTGTCGCCAGATAAAGGTTCTATAGTAGTATTCAAAACTATCATCCGTCTGACTGCATAACAAGGCCAGTTCAGGCACCCTCTCCTCCAATGCCCAGGGTCCTAGCTAGGGACATCCCCATGAACACCTGGGAACCCCTCAAAAGTCAACCCTCTTGCCAACCCCACAATGCCTCCCTTAATTAAGATATGTACTTCTCTGCTCCCATATCTGTCCTTCCCCCATCTCAACCATCCCTCTCCCCCAAGATCTTCCCAACCCTCTTCTTCTCATTCTCTCTACCCCTCTCCCCTTCCCCCCACCCCACTCCCACCCCTATGCTCCCAACTTTTGCCTGGTGATCTTGTCTGCTTCCAATTTCCAGGAGGATCTATATATGTTTTTCTTTGGGTTCACCTTATTACTTAGGTTCTCTAGAATAGTGAACTATAGGCTCAATGTCCTTTGTTTAGGGCTAGAATCCACTAATGAGTGAGTACATACCATATTCATCCTATTGGGTCTGGGTTATCTCACTCAGAATAGTGTTTTCTATTTCCATCCATTTGCATGCAAAATTCAAGATTTCATTTTATTTTATTTTATTTTTTTACTGCTGAGTAGTACTCTAATGTGCACTTTCTTTATCCATTCTTCCATGGCTAAAAAAAAAATGATAGCCTGTGCTGGAGATGATGTGGAGTAAAAGTAATACTCATCCATTGCTGGTGAGAATGCAAACTTGTGCAACCACTTTGGAAATCGGTGTGGCGATTTCTCAGAAAATGGGGAGTCAACCTACCTTAGGATCCAGCAATACCACTCTTGGGAATATACCCAAGAGATGCCCAATCATACTATAAAAGCATTTGTTCAACTATGTTCATAGTAGCATTATTTGTAATAGCCAGAATCTGGAAACAACCTAGATGCACCAACTGAATTTTTCATTTTCAAAATATATTCACATATATTCACTTACTATTTCATGGTCCCAATTTAGCATAGAGTTGTAATAACATGCCTGGCACATGTGAGTAGGTTACTTTTTCCTTACCATTGTAGAACTTCTCAGAGTTCAAATGACTCTCCTTATAACCATGGGATTGGCTTGCTTGGGAATTTCAACTAATTGCCTAAGATCACATTGCTAATAAAGACTGAGCAAGCACCTAATGAGAGATCAAATTTTCAACAGCAAGCAAAGACATCTGGAAATTTCACATCCCCTTCTTACACTTGCATGAACACTACATATGAAGCATGCAAGTCTTCTCATGACAGGGCCTTTAGAGTGAGATCTTGCTTATAGATGGGCAATTGAAGCTCAGATCTAGCAAGAGACTTGAATGGAGGTGGCGAAGGAAAGATGATTCTGTGGCTGATTCTGACATCATGCCTCCTGCTTATGTAACACATTTCTTCCATCATTCCACAGTACTCTCTGACTGACTTCCAACTTTCTTATCTTCAAATCAGCTTCAATTACCTACTTATAAAAACTTTGAGCCATTATGTGACTGATCACAGTTTTCATAATGATATGTAAACAATTTCTATGTCTATTAGATGTTTCTAGATAAAAATTAAAATTATTTAATCTTAAAAGAGAAAGGAAAAAAGAGAAAGAGGGGGAATAATGTTATATCATTTTCAACTTCCTAATTTTTATATTTTCATCAGTGTAAATCATACAATAACAAGAAAGCTATTGTACTTTATATAAGTTATCATTTTCTAAGAAGTTGTAGTCAGGTGAAGAAACATACCAAAAAAGCAATTTACTGCTAATGCTACAATGCTTAGTTGCCCCAAGTACTTAAAGAATAAAAATAAGATCTTAGACACTTATTTTTTTCTCTGACTTCCTCTGGACAACATTTAAAAACAAAATAAATTGTATGTGATATCTCTTAACCCTGTTCTTCAGAAGTATTCAAACAAGTATCAGAGAAAAAGGATAGCACTGGCCTCTCTTTCCCAGTAATTTATAAGCCAAAATAGGTGCTATTGACAAAAAGACAATAAGAAATACAATAAACATTTACAATCCCTCACACATATGCTCCCTTAGCATAACTCATTTAAGGAAGATGCATTTTAGTTCTTAACATTGACCATAAACTGGTATGGGAGGCAGAAAGAAGGCGGAGTCAGGAGAAGCCATGTAGCCCTGCCAGAGACAATGCTGGTGGAACCATGTCAGTAAACCACAGCCACATGCGATACACAAATTAATAGAAATTGGTTTAGTTAAGATGTAAGAGCTAGCCAATAAGAAGTTAGAGCTAATAAGCCAGCAGTGATTTAATTAATACAGTTTCTGTGTGATTATTTCGGGGCTAAGCAGCCAAGAACGAACAAGTGGCCTCCTACAACAATAAAAAAAAGAAGGGAGGCTAGTCTATCAGAAGAAGACTGAGATAGTCCCAAGCATATGAGAGTAAAATATAGGTCAAAATGCCTATAGGCTATTGAGGTGATAAGAGTAAAGAAATAAAGGAGAGCAACTTCCCTGTTAAAAAAAAATAAAAATAAAAAAATAAAAATAAATCACACAATCTTTAATGGAATACAGATTTGACCTGCATGGTGATTTCTTTCTTGATGCCTGAAAACTGTTTATCATTAATAAAAATGGGTCAGCACTTCCCTTGATCATTTGGTGGAATTATTCCCTTGATGGATGACATCAATGTATCTGTAATGGTCCCATCTGCAATACTGGCAGACCAGCCCCAAAAGCTTTGATTTACAAAAATAGAGGCAGATATTTTGGAAGAACACTCTACAAACCATTGAAGAGGAAAAAAAAAAAGATTTGAGCTGATGTACCCAACTATTGCATAACCTTCCGCTGTACAATTTTGCTGTTATTAAGTATTAAACTCGAGTCTGGATATAAACACAGATAATGAGATTGAATTGTACATAGATCAAAAGCTGAAAGCAACATATTGTAAATTCCTTCCATTTAAATAATGGTATTATAGAAAGGATATTGTATTAAATGAGAGTAATTTGACAACGATTTAAATTTGCAGTATATTATATAGTCAATTATTTTTCAGTCTCTCAAAAATATACTGCTGTGATTAGTCCTGCTAACACTAAAGTCAGTGTTATGAGAGAAATAAAAAAAATCAGACAAAATGAATTCACTAAATCTGAACATCATTAAAAGTGTTCTCTGTCTTAGAAAAAAACAAACAAGAAGAGAACAAGTAATTATAGCTTTAACCGTCAATACCACACAAACATTGTTTTCATCATTTCAGCTTTTGGTACTTACATATTACCCTACAGTACCTTTTTCTCGAATCAGGTAAGGACGGCTGCAGTCGTGAGAAAGGCACAAATGTAGATCCACAAGGAACTAGCTTTGGAGACATAATCTTCTCAGGCATTGCTCAAGAGAGAGAGATTTCCAGGCACAAACTCCTTCCATCCAGGAATACGATCAAAGAAACCAAGGTTTGAGCTTTCTCAATATTTTTAAGGATGTTTTTAGGTTGTAAACATTTCAGGCTCAGCAGCTGAGTCTAGTTTCTTTAATGTTATCCTTGATTCAGCATCTCTTGACAGACCATTAAGAAAAGGTTGATGATGCAAGAAGGCCAATGTGAAGGTTAACATGACTGATTATTTTACAGAGCACAGTGTACTCACTAAGAGCAAATAAACTCCCAAAACATTCTTCTCTGCTTCTTTCTCAAAATCT